GACAATGGTGGAGCTACCAATGACTCTTCAGTTACCCAGTGAGGGGTTCTTGCCAGAGAACAAAGACAACCAAGTGAGAAGAGATAGAAAGAGAAAGACCTGGGGACATCACTTCAGGTTCCAGATCCAGCTATGCCTGAAGCACCTTCCTATTCACAGGAACCAATTCTATATTACCTGTGTGTTTAATCTGGTTGCAGTTGTGCTTCTGTCACTTTCTCCTACAATAGTTTTGACAAACATAGGAGTTTGATAGAATTCCATGGTGTTCTGACGAGGGACCTAAGAAATAAGTGACCCTTGACTCTCCTCTTTTCAGTGTTACTGTGGGGAGGAGAGGTGTAGGATGGATACACAAAGCAAAGAAGAGAAAAAAGCAAAAATATTCTTAGAGGGCTGACTAACCAATAACCCCTGAGATCCTCAAGGAAAGGTTAGGCACAGCACTGGACAGAGCCCTAGAGAGAATCTCCCTCTCTCCTAAGAGTCTTTATAAAGGGCAGGGCAAAAGCAGGTTCACAGATGTGAGTACAGGCAACACAAAGTGTGTTATTGTCTTATTATTTATTAATTACCGTATTATTTTCCAATCAAACAACTGTAAACCTACTTTTGCCCCACCTTGCACATTGCCCCATTCGTTTCCAGACAGGTTGGTTTGATTATATATTCCCATCAGAAGGGACTGAGTTTTATATAATGAAGATTAGGGAAGCTAATTAAGTGGATTTAGAACTTAATATATAGAATTTTTACAGCCAAGCAGGCTTCAATTAGATGAGTAACTTTGCCTGATTCAGAGCAGACTCTAGCAGTGAGGGCATCAAATATTCAAATAGTTCCAAGAGGTAAGTGCACATGTGAGAAGTTTCAATGCAGAGTGAACTGAGCTAAGAGTTGACTTCATAAATAAAGATGTTGCTTAAGTTTCCTTACAACAATTAGATTGTGGTTATTTGTTATCAGGAGGAGACACCTTAATAAAGGGAGAAATATTATCCATTGTTTGGATCATTCATTCATTCATTTATTTCTTCATTCATCTATTCATTGAGCAAACACATATAGAGTGCCTATTGCATGTCAGGCACTGTTCAGGGCTGGGGACACAGTAATAAACAAGACAAAAGCTTTCCCTGAATGGACCACACCTCTCAGGTGAATTGAACTGAATTTAGAATCTCCATGTATTAATCTGTATCGTGATGGGTGTTCACTTGGAAAGGATGAGAACAATTGGGGTCATTACCTGGACAAATGGAACTATGCAAGTCAGACCTTGTGGAGAGAATGGACGTACTTCCTCCCCAATTTTCTACATAATTGCTTCAATTCTCCATTTTGCCTTGCTAATAGAGCTGTCTAGGAATCAGCTAAGAATGTTCACAGCACTGTTTGCGGAGGAATTTAGAAATCTGGAGATGAAAGGAGCTGATATATTTATAATTGTAATGTAGTGTTACTACAGATGAAATGCTTTTGTAATTTACAATGTTTATAATGACAGGTTAGCATTACACAGGATGTTTTTCCCAGTGATTTATTCCATGCATTACTTCTTTACCTTTCCCATGTTACCAGAATGGCAGGGGAGATTATTGGTCTCTCAATGTTGCAGGTAGGGAAACAGAGATACTCAGTGAGTGACTTGTTCGCATCATAACCCATGACCAGGTTAATCAGAAAGTCTGATTACAGGTTTACAGGGGAACCAATCACTCCTGCAAAGTTTTCCCAGCTCTCTGGTTCAGGCTTTCACATGAACCAAGGGTATAACCCTGACACACATTCATTTAACCTCATTAGGTTTCAGCTTCATTGTCTGGAATATGAGACAACTAGAGGCCCGGTGCCCGGGGGTCCCCTCAGCCCGACCTGTATCCTCTCCAAACCAGGACCCCTTGGGGGATGTCTGACTGCCGGTTTAGGCCCAATCTGCCTGCCTGCCTGATCACCCCTAACCATCCTGCTTGCCTTGCCTGCCTTATAACTCCTAACCCCTCTGTCTGCCTGCCTGATCACCCCCAACTGCTCTCCCCTGCTGGCCTGATCACCCCTAACCCCCTCTGCCTCAGCCCACCACCATGGCTTTGTCCGGAAGACATCTGGTCTATCTCATCTAATTAGCATATTACCCTTTTATTAGTATAGATGAGCAAGATTCAGGTTCAACTAATTTTCAATAGGCACCTATTGTGTGCAAATCATGTGTTCAATGCTTCTGATGCTACCATAATAAATTGAATTACATTTTAAATTAAATCTCACAACAAATGAAGAAACCTAGGCACTAAGAAGTTAAGTAACTTGCCTAAGGTGACCCAGCTAAAGATAGTCAATACATTAATCCAGACATCCCGACTGCAAAACCCAATGCTTTTTCCTACTTTAGCACTTTTCTTTATATTTTAGCATACTATAAAGTTACAGACAGCTATGCATGCACTGTGATTTGCTGAAATATAAACTAAAACTATCCCATTATCCAAAATCCATGTAATATGAATGATATAATTAATATAACCAAATTTAAAAATTTGATTAAGTTTATATAACCAAGTTATTTATGATTTAATAATGTTTGAGGCTTCTAAGTGATACATAAGGGTGTTAAAATATATTATAGAAATTTAACAAGAGAGTCTATGTTTTATTAACATACTGACTCAGAGATTGACTCAAAGTGGTAATTATTTTGTTGTGACAGGTATAATTTCAAATATACCTTCCATTCTATTCAGCTCAACAAATGGATTTTGATGTTAACTGACAAGAAGAAAGTAAAGTTACTGTTTTATTTTATTTTTAAGCATTGCTTTAATATATTTTTATTGATTTCAGAGAGGAAGGGAGAGAGAGAGAAA